TAGAGGCATACCGTTTCCAAGAAAGCATTTTCCTTAGTAAACGAAAGTTGCAGCGTTATTTATCCAGGCCCATTACAGGTGTCACCTTATACAGGCATATAGACCTTATTTAATATTAATCATGAGAAAAGTACCCAAGTTAACGTCATTTATGTCGAGTTATTTTTTTTAAGTTTGTCACGAGATACCTTTCATTGACCTTTAAGATTATATGAATATGATACAGCAGCAATTTTCAAAACGGTCCCTTGAAATTGATTACAATTGAAACAAGATATGTGATTTACGGGTTATTTTAAAGGTAAGGTCAACGCCTATGGAGATTTAACATTAGCGTCGGCCCCCGCTTGGTTTTTCAAAACAAGATAAATCCAAAAAGGTATGGGTATAGGAAGCTTAAAGCAGGAAGAGTTAGTTTCAGAATACTTTTTTTTTTTAGATAAATGGGACCTCTTTGACTTACACCTGTGTGTGTGTTAATTGAATTTTTATTGAAGATTTAAGAAGAAAAATATGTGAAATTTCATTACTAATGAGAAAATTTCCATTTTTGACACGTTAATTTACATAGTTCTAAAACGAGTCTATTTTTCATATTTGCTTAAAAGTTGGCTGCTAATGATATGTTTAAACATTCAGGAATTTCAAAAATATTGACAACCGGTAAATTTATCATATAACTCTTCTGATTCAAAAGAAGAAAAACATAGCTTTCTGTCCACTTTTCCTTTAACGTGTGTTTCTTCATGACCAAAAGTCCTTGGGTCTTGATATTTGACAAGTAGATTGTTCATGTAAATGGATAAAAGTTTTGTAAACGTAGATGTCCTTGACCTTCGTTCAAAGTCACAAAAATAAAATGTGCTAAAATGAATATTTTGTATGGGGAGTCAGACAAGGGTATCTTTCCTTGCTTTATTTGTTTAGAGTAAACGATATGCACTAATATTCCTTCATATTTTGTTAAATGAATGGGCAATAGGCAAAACAAAATAATAACTAGAACTGTAAGTCAAAGGCTAATTAATACCTCTGCTTCTATTTAAACCAGAACTGTAAGCTAAATAATAACTAAGGCAAATAATTGCAAAGCAATCCGCAGTCTTCCACCACTAATTGTTTAAGTATATAGGTCACTGACATACATCCTGTACTCCCTCCCCATGCGAAAACATTCCTGCAAACTAAATGTTGATAGCCAATGTTACCCCCTCCTTATTGCAGATTAGCTGTAACGGGAGAGGCTGGCGGGACATGTTACATGTACCCCCTCCTTACTATATATTAGCTGTAATTGGAGAGGCTGGCGGGACATGTTACCCCCTCCTTACTATAGGTTAGCTGTAACGGGAGAGGCTGGCGGGACATGTTACCCCCTCCTTACTGTAGGTTAGCTGTAACGGGAGGGGCTGGCGAAACATGTTACCCCCTCCTTACTGTAGGTTAGCTGTAACGGGAGGGGCTGGCGGGACATATTACCCCCTCCTTACTATAGATTAGCTGTAACGGGAGAGGCTTGCGGGACATGCTACCCCCTCCTTACTATAGGTTAGCTGTAACGGGAGAGGCTGGCGGGACATGTTACCCCCTCCTTACTGTAGGTTAGCTGTAACGGGAGGGGCTGGCGAAACATGTTACCCCCTCCTTACTGTAGGTTAGCTGTAACGGGAGGGGCTGGCGGGACATATTACCCCCTCCTTACTATAGATTAGCTGTAACGGGAGAGGCTTGCGGGACATGCTACCCCCTCCTTACTATAGGTTAGCTGTAACGGGAGAGGCTGGCGGGACATGTTACCCCCTCCTTACTGTAGGTTAGCTGTAACGGGAGGGGCTGGCGAAACATGTTACCCCCTCCTTACTGTAGGTTAGCTGTAACGGGAGGGGCTGGCGGGACATATTACCCCCTCCTTACTATAGATTAGCTGTAACGGGAGAGGCTTGCGGGACATGCTACCCCCTCCTTACTATAGGTTAGCTGTAACGGGAGAGGCTGGCGGGACATGTTACCCCCTCCTTACTGTAGGTTAGCTGTAACGGGAG